CTAAAAGAGCTTAGCGGAGCTCCTGCCTTAGGGACCTTACCCATCAGAGTCAGGCTGCTCTGAGCTGAAATGTGTATAATACTATATTGCACACATCCTGTTCATTTTAAGAATTATCTAGAAATCCTAGGAATTCTATATAATGACGGATTTCATAGATATTTAGTAACATATGTACTATAATAGGAACGGTAATATATAAAAAACCTCAAAAAAATAAATAAAAACATTTTCCATATTAAAATCATTTATTGAAAATTGTCTATTATACATGACTAAATATCATTGCTCTGTGTAGTATCTGTGCTGTGTCTTACCACGTAAATCACTTCTGTGATTGATATTTTCTGTATGACTCTTTAAGTGAGCACGTATACGCATATTAAAAAAATGAATTAGCTATTTTCTTAACTATCATAGTTTCATGCAAATCATTACAATTAATTGAGTCCGTGATTGGGTGGTTAAACATTTCCTGCAACAGAGGAGTAAAATATTGTGACGCGACATTAATTAATTTGTTTTCAATGTTATTGGCTCTAAGTTGGCCCATCAAATTAGCTCGTTGGAAAACTTGGTCACAATATTTTACAATTTTGTAAGCTGCTACCGAAGGAAAATCCTCGGAAAAGCCTCGGTTCACAAACGTCGTAAATGAATTAAATTTATTTACAATCATATGATATGAATGATCTGTTGACACATAGTTAAGTGCTACTAACGCATTATTACAATGTTCACAAGAAATGCGGGTAAGAATTTGTTTTATAATGTAACCAGTTATATAATATAATATATTTTCCTGGTATGGACTAGCATGAATCTTTTCTAAATTTTGAAACATATTTTCAACGTCTTGTTGATATTCAGGTTCTTTGCGAGAATGAAACAAACTTTTCTGTTTATTGAAATCGAAGACGTGTGTTGTCTCAAAGCCATTTTCTATGTAGTTGGCATTGACGGATGGTTGAATGAAATGTCTGAACAACATCTTTCTAATTATGTAGCGGAACTCGAGAGGGCTCGGGTTATCTTGTGCCTGACCGCGAGCCATAATGCAGGAAAAAAAAGTTCCAAGTTGCCCTGCGAACATTTAAAAGTCAACAAATATTTAATTGGATTTTGCTCTAGTGTACACAAATCATTAACAAGTAACGATAAACTATTTATGTTCATTAAAAACCCTAATAAAAACGTTTTTCTGGGATGATTTAAAATACCTTTACCATTTATTGTTAACGATTTTAAAAACATTCCAGTATCATTAAATATTAGTTCCCAATAATGTTTGTTTTTTAACGATAATGGAGACTTTGAACCCTTTCCAAATGGTGACTTTGAATTCATGAGATCAAAAAGTCTATCTATCATGTGCAAGAACTCTGTAGTCGCTTCGCTGTCATCAGCAACAGATGAACTAAGTACTTGCGCAGCAAGCCTAACATTCATTTTTTTGTTTTTAAAATCTACATGTAAAGCGCTTAATTTATTAGCAAATTTTAACCCCTCCTTGCTTTGTATTTCGTGTAATTTTTGGATATATTTAAACGAAATATAGCCGGTATTTGACTTCATTTCAAAATCGGCCAAAACATTTCTAGCGAGTTTTAACATATATGCAGCGTCAAGCAGACAATATATATTGCTCTTCCCGTTTGGATGTCGAAAGTACGGTCTTAAATTATTTTGTTCGAGAGAGCAGCCTAAATATTCATAAGCCTTTACATTGGATGATGCACCATCACAAGTCAAAGATCTTACGGTGACACCAATTTCGTCAAGCAGAATTATAGTGTTTTTTATTAATTCGGAAAGCAGTTCCCCAGACAAGTTATTTGCAATAAAAAAATATGCAATTGGACACTTACAACGTACACCGTAAGACACTATTTGAAACACGAGGGCTTCGGATCACTTGCAGGAATCGGTCCTAAATGTACATACCCTTTTTGTCTAATTTTTGATCATATGCCAAATTTTGTTTTAATGCCGTTCCATCAAATATTAAAGCAACATTTTTTAAATATATTTTTTCAGGTGTCTTAACTTGTTCTTTTAAATATTCCAGTACTTCAGAGAGGAAACCAACATTACAGTTAAATAAAGATAAAGATCTTCGTATAGTTTCTACATGAGGTAAAGTTATATATTTTCTTAAGAACTCGTAAGCCTTAGGTGAATAGAAATTCAAAGTTAAAGCAAAAGCTTTCACTTCTTAACTATATCGAACACCATGTGGATTACTCTGTGGCTTTTTGAAATCCTGACAGAAATCAGCAAAGCGCCCTTGAATAATATTTTCGATTTCTGACTAACCCGTATACTTTTTAATAGTTGCAATTAAAGAAGACATATCCTGAATTTTTTTAGTTTGGCGCGCCACTTTTTGCACTTTTTGCTTTTTTAAGAATCTAAGTTTTCTTCTCAAGTATTTCTTCTTTACAAGACTTTATTTTCACTTATCTATCTCTGCGGTGAGTCGAGAAGAAGGCAAGTAATCTGCGAGAGTGCCGTGAAGCAGAGGCGAGCAGTAAGGCTCAGAGCCGTGCCGAACACTGTATGGCGCAGAGAGTAGTTTGAAGGAACAGGAAGCATTATTATTCCAGTGCTGCGATGAACCTTGTGAAGCTAGATGGCTTGCAGGATATGAAAGACTGCAGACGATATCTGCTCGGGAGCGAATGGGTGGGGTATTTATGACGATGATGAAAGCTTGAAGTTTCCGAAGGTTGTTGGTTGCATGTTCAGATCACGTCGGGGTCACCACTGTGGCCGTGGAAGGAAAAGGGGAGATCTCCCGCCGGGCAAGGTGTTCTGCCCGGGGAGCGGCTCACACTCCGTGTGATAGTTCGGAGATGTTCTATATATACTGTTTATGATTCGGAATGTTGATAGCGTGATTTAGGCTTCGGTGTATTCCGCTTGTGGCGCGACGATCTATCTATCTATCTTCGCGGGATCGTCGTCTTCACTGCTGACTTAAGAAAACAAGAAAACTTTGTGAAATCGGTAATTTTAGCATCGTATTGCTCCGCTCATAAGGGTCGTAGCGTGATGTTAGATAATCTTCCTGAAGAATTGGTTTTAAAAATGCAAAAAAATTTTTCAAATCTGACTGCTATAGTTCCGGAGATTAGAGAACTCAAACAAACAAACAAAAAAAGAATCAAATAACTCTTCTACATCATAATGTCAGTACAAATTTACATCACGTAATAGGTTATTGGACCATTAGTATACAGAAAGGATACTCCGGAGCGCGCCTTCATGAGCACGCATAAATGAAGCATCAAACAAGAAGCTTCATGCTTAGTGTCGTAGTGACGGTTACCACACTGCGATTGGCACTAAAGAGTTTAAATATGTATGTGTTTTAAGCTACATAATATATTATGTAATGTAATATTAAAGTCATAATAAATACAAATAAAAGGTATGTATTTAGTAATAAAGGAAAAGGAAACTTACAGGTAACTTGTTAAGATTGCAAAAATTTTCAAGAATTTTTCGACATTGTTTTTACTAGTTTTGTCTTCAATATTACAGGCAGTACGTTTCACTCCTGTTTCCTTAAGTGCAGAACTACTTTCATAAATGTCAGAACTAGTGCTTGGTACAGCCAGAGCAGCTATTTGCACAATAGACTCTTCATGTAATGCACTTGTTTTCTGCAAATAATAACATATTTTACAAAATGTTACTTTATATCATACATTTAAACTACTACATTTCTAAATATATAATATATTACGAAAAATTTGATAATTAAATTATATTAAATTTTTACCTTGCCTGGTGATACTGTTTCTTGATTTATTATAACAGTAGGAACTGCTGTTGGTTTTAAGCGCCTTGTTGTTGAATCATAATCTGATTCTTGAAAATGCAAATTGCAAATCCTTGCACTTTTATAATACTTCATTTTCAATGGTACAATGGATAACCACAAATTTCTCCGAGTACTTTTTTTAGGAAATCTAAAAAAATATTCGTAATTATTGTAAACGTTACTAAAGTATCAGAATAATAAGAAAAAAAACTAAATAAAAAGTAAATTGTCTGCCTAAAAAAACTAAATAAAAAGAATATATTATTATGTTACTAATTAATAATCTAATAATTATGAAATCTATGAAATCCGTCATTATATAAAATACATAAAAAAATTAAATAAAAAGAATATATTATTATGTTACTAATTAATAATTTAATATTATGAAATCTATGAAATCCGTCATTATGTAGAATACACAGGAATTGTATATAATTCCTAAATTTCATGCATTTCCGGTAACGTAATAAGAAACATGTACATATAATTAGTTAAGGACACGGAAAGTCTCAGATACATCCTTAATATGGTCACACTACTTCAGTGCGATTTCTTTTAAACAAAAACAATAAAATTGTTCAAAGTCAATTAAATTCAATGTAAAACTATTTGATTTTGATAAAGTTATGATTTACTAACACTTCTTATATCACCTCCTGGACACCAGGGCCTTTGTAGTTAGAACATTTTTCTGTTCTATAGAAACTGGCATTGCATATTTAGTTCCACAACTCCCCAAAGGACGGCGCTGGAGTAAGTTTACGTCCGAAAACGCGTTGTTTTAATTAATTAAATCAAATTCAATGATTGTATCACATTGGTTAAATCAACGTGTTAATAATGTGAATTTAAATATTTTCACCAGAAAATTAGTTAAACAACTAATTTTATTAAGATTTATCTGATATAAGTCTCCTTTATTTGTTTAATTGGAAGATGGAATATTGGTGTTATAACACGAAATTATAATTTCTAAACGTGACCACCCACTACCACCATTTTGTTTGTTTTTGAATTTGACTGTGCTTTGAATGCTTTAGATTTTTCCTATATTTTCTTACGACTTGGCTATTCTTGGCTCCGATTATCTTTGCTTAATACAGTGACCCACGCACGTGAAAGGAACTTCGATTATCTATCCTCCGGACATAGTTCATATAGTTTAGTGATGGCCGCGGATAAAATATGCTGTGTTTCAGGATGTACTAAAAGCCGTGAGTAAATCCAATTATTTACAGATTCTACCAATCAATATATTATTTCTCTTTCTATTTTATACATAAGTCAGTGACACCTTGGGCAACAATTTGATACCTAGCGCGGACGCAGGTAGCCCAAGAGTTCTGTATCACTTTTGCACCCTTAGAGCCACTACTTTGCTATGTATACTTATAACACTACTGCTTATACTACTGTCATTACACTTTTCAAAAACACTTCTAAAATATTAAATTTTTTTTGTAGGTGAAGATGGCTATGTACTTCACAAATTTCCGAATCCTACAAAAGATCCAACACGATTTTGTACATGGGTTCAAGCAGTTGGTGGAAACCTTCTGTGCTTAGATGATATATATGTATTTAAGTACCGAAGAATTTGTCATACACATTTTGATTCCAAGTACTGGACCAGGAGTAAAATGATAAGCAGTATTGCAATACCAACATTGCATATGAAAGGTTAGTAAAGATGTGCATTAACATTGTTGTAATGATCTATTCTTAATATTATGAATGTTAAAGTTAATATGGTAGTTTGTTCATAAAATAATTAATTTTACTATCAAACATGAACAATTGAATGTATAAATGTTGATTCATTGTTAAACTATGTTATGACAAAATATTATGCATGATATGCAAAGCAATTTTATTTTTGAATAACTATTTGATTCAAATGATAGTAAAAAGCTTATAAATTAAGGCTTTTATAAAGCTTATATGAATATCAAAATCTACACCAGTTCATAAATATTAAACTTTCTCAGAGTACATCTGGGAAGAAACATGAGTTTATGTTGCAATAACAAATATATAGTGATCTAAAGATCTTTTCCAGTACTAATGAGAACATACTATATTCTAGAATATGTTTAATTATTTTTTAATCTTATTGTCCTTTAGTATCTATTTAAAGTAATGATGATCTTCAATTTGGTATCCCATTCTTTCACTTCATTCAATCTTAGAATATCATATTTAAAGTTTAGATGCCAAAAGGGGGACGCCCATTTTCGGCCATGGAACGCCCAACAATGTGCATTTGTTAAAAAATTATATCTTTATTTATGGTTATTAATCGTGGTATTCATTTATCCTCAAACAATGGGAATATTTTTGCACAAATTAAAAGTACCGAAAAGATAATGATAAAAATTAGGTAGATCATTATGTCATTAGTTTGTGAATAAAAAAAAGTGTTGCCAATCACAAATCACATTTAAAAAATCGATCTCTTTTTCGATCGATTATTTATGGTGTCATCATTACAGTACTAGTATAATTTTTAAATAATTATTATGGTATGATAATTAAACAAGCGAATTACTAGTTGATTTCCAATGAATTCTTTAGAGAGTAACAAAACGCTACGGCACAATTTTACTGTTAATCTTAACCGATCTTCTTTGAAAACAGATAAGAACTGTTATTCTTATCTGTTTTCAAAGAAGATCTGTTAAGTTATTCTTATCTGTTTATAACAATACATTTAAAATAGAATCATGTTATGATAACGAAACAAGTTAGTTTCCAGCTGATTTACCATGAATCCTTTAACCTTTTGAGCGCCAAAGTCGCCTATACTTGACCAACACCTGCGTGAGCGCCAACGACGTCTATAGTTGACAAAAAACCCGGCTCTCAAAAAATGAAATATGGATATTGGAAAATTATTACAGGTATTTTAATTCTACACTCCTCAAAACAGGAATAACCCAGCAACATGTGAGTAGAAAAAACAAGTCTTCTAGAGCCACAAGTACTAAGAAACATTGAACTAATAAAAATTGATTTTTATCTAAGTCCAGCACGCCAAAGTCATCTATGGTTGACCGCTAATGTCAAATGCGGGAAGCATAGATTTCTCGAAAACTATCCAAAATTCAGCTCAATGGTGTTTTTTTTCTATTAATGTTATTGATATTTGAATAAAATTAAAGGTTAGAAACATAAAACTATAATTAGCTACATGAATAAAAAAATGTTATCAGATCATCTTTGCATAATAAATCTAATATCTCAACTCTAGCGCATCTTTAGCGCGTTATCGAAAATCAGTTCACTGGGCACCGTGATCAAGGATAAACGACACCCTGATGATGTCATAAGTGATTACCGAGAAAAGTAGAGCAATGCAACATGAATGATTCCTCAGAACTCATTCGGATTTTGGAAAGCGTCGATGATGATGAATTTTGATTTTTGATTGATGAATTGAATTTTTGATTGATTGGTGAACAATTATGTTTATTTATTCCATGACCAAGATTTTAATATTATAAGGCTGATTTACCTAGTGCGAATAATTATATACAATTGTTGATTAATGAATAATTATGTACCTTTTTTAATAATAATACAAAAAGTAATGTTTTGGTGTGAAGAGCAATTTTTCATTTTGTGTTGTGCCATTTCCTTTCTCAGTCTCAAAATCATCTAGCAGCATCAGCATCATATCAAATCCCCATTGTCATAAGAGTGTAAGACTTTTCTTCTGTGCTTCACTTGGTCTACACCTTCCCCAACATATAAAATATTATGAATCGATGTCTGTATATTTCGGTTAGATCGATTTTGAAATCGATACACAACATTCTAAGAATGTTCAAAAAAAGGAAGGTCAGCTACGCCGTTGTCGTCCAGTCGTGACAGTGTCGTCATTAGGATGGAGAGTAGTGCTGTGGTTTACTACTATTTTATTGTTATTGTTTGTTTTTTATTTATGTTTATATGTACAAAGTACATATATAAAAAGAGTGGATGACAGCACAAGATTAAATAAAACATACAGTTTATAAAGAGTCATTTATAGAATAAAAAACCAACAAAAACAAGTTATTTTACGTTATCGATATATCAACTCTTGGCAACACTATTTTGTTTTGGCGCTTTGGCGTACAGGACACGGTAATGCGTTTTTGGCGTGGCGCTCAAAAGGTTAAAGCTTAACAAAACGCTACTGCACAATTTAACTGTTCTTAAAAATACATTTCAAATAGCATTTAAATAAATAAAGGAAAATATATTTTAAAAAGTGTGCAGAACTTAAAGCACCTCAAAGATTGTTTTTTTAACGATATTATTAATCGAATAAAAATCGATATCTTTTCATCGATTTTATGTCAGTTAAGTGGCAACATCGAGTCTGACAGCTAGGCCCTGACATGGAATGAAATCACAATTCAGTTCACATTTCACAACTATATCTATACCTATATAAATAGTCACATGTAGAATTCATTTGCGTGTTACTTTGTTTGTTTTTATTTTTGTGAATTTGTTATCGAAGTAACGAACTAGCCTTATAAATGGACTCTGACATTTTTCCCCATTATATAGCGAAAACACGAAGGCATTTGTTGGAAATTCCAGAACTGCGAAATCTTATACAAGAATAGGTTCGACCACAGCAGGTAAATAGTTACAATCATGTGTCATGTCTTCCTTTTCGTCATTCTACAATTGCAGCAATGCTTATTAACTGAGTTGTCTTATAATTATATCAATTGATATAATAATTATGGCTTCTTTATTAGGTACAAGTTTCGAGTGATAGTGTAGTATGCCACGCATGTTAAGACTGCAGCCTGGAATCAAATACGACATCCAACTAGCGAACAGGAAAATTCACCAATTAATAGTCATGGACATGTATGTATCAGCTGTGGCAAGTCACTTTTGAGAATAAGATCACACACATTGTTTGGGTCTGATTCTCCACGTGAGGAACTCATAAGGAATGAAATTGCCCATCAAATTGCACCACGTGAGGTACATGTTCAACATTTTTTAATTTATTAAGTGTGTGTGCTCATATCTGATAGTGATACATGTTTTTACTCTGATTACATCTACACAAACTATATCTGACAAACATATATTTATAACATGGCGATAAGATTAGCTTGTCACCACCAGATAGACTGCTACCGTTTTTACCAACTACCAAGTAATGAGACAATTGATTTTTCATTGTTTTTGGACTACTGGTAGTTTTTAAGTGCTTAATTTTTAAATAATATAGGCCATTAAGTCTTCTTTTGTGCAGTAACAATTAACTTGATAAATATTTTATATGTATTTGAGTTTAAAGGAAACAAATCTATTTTATTTTTATTTAGTTCACTTTTTCACTTTTTTATTTAATATTATTTCAGTTGCCATCGTCATCTCGTGTGTGTCATAAGTGTTGGCGAAGGTTTGATAGAGCAGCATCACATTCAACTGCAGAACGGGAACCATCTGAATCATTTAGTTCATCCTCGTTGTAATCTGAAGTCGGTAATGTATTGCACCCAGATTCAAACATTCTAATTTCAATAGAGAATGAAGCTGGGTATTCCCACCTGCTTGGGACACTGTAATTAATAAAATTAAAACTAAACCCAAGCATACCACGCAAGACCTCAGGACAGTAAGTTCATTCTGCGTAGAACGGACCATAAATAGTTATTTAAAAAAGCTGAAGTTACTCCAAGTTAACACTGATTTCGGTACACCAGTCACCTCAATCCCCCATGACCATGTGTGCTGGAAAGCACCCGAAAGTCGGGAATTAAAAATCAAAGAAATTAAACGTGATAATATCGGTAAAATTAGTTGTTAAAAAACTGTATTTGTGAAAATAAAAACTTTTATATCTTATAATTCCCGACTTTTTTAAAACCAATTTCTTATCCATTTCATTCCTTTAATTGTATATTATCATATCTATATGTTTTTATATGTGGGCACCCATGGCCGAAATGTCTATGAAGAGTGGGCAATGCCCTTTGTGCAGTATTCATTTGTATAAAAACAAAAAAGTTAGTATTTCATTTGGTCTTATTAATAAACTTAGTTTATCACAAAAGAAGTTACTTAATTTGCCTCAGTCTTTGTAAAATTTGATATTGCTGTAAGATCCATAATTTACATTATAGTTTGCATATTTTTCCCAGGTGTTCTGTAATGCAACTAATACTAATAATAAACTTCTATTTTAATAAAATCGAATGTAACTATCAGCAGCTTCATTTTTATTTATTTTATTTTATTATGCTACTTGTGGTATTTGTTGTTTGATATTGTCTGTTGGAAGATGTTGGTAGTACTTCAGTTTTACTCTTTCATTTGCTAAATGGGGTTGCTAATATGTGTATGCTGTAATTTTTTGCTAATTGGTAGTAGAGAAACTAATCTTTGCAATGAACAAACCCAAGCAGGTTAGAATTTTTGTTAGAGCCGTCAGTTCACATTTCCCACTGTACTATTGTTAAGTTGTCAATATGTTTGAAGCATAATATAATCATTCATTTTAAATATTGAATTAACAGGCGCTGTTGCTAAAAGGCCACCCTTAGCTGAAGTAACAAATAAAAATAATACTCTTAAAACAAGCAATACACATGAAATTGCCTCAACATCAAGTTATGTGCAAGAGACAACTACTGCTCAAACATCAAGTAAGTTAAAATTTATTTTATAGTATAAATGAAAATGAAGATAACATATTGTAAAAGAATTTTATTTCAAAAAAAAAATTCCCACTGGGTTTCGTGCTGGTTCTGGTAAAGGTTTAGTATCAAGTCACTTTAATAGACCCCCCTATGTGTGGCGAGGGGGAAGGGAGGCGGAGAGGGGTAGATTCGCCCCCACCTGCCCCTCCGCATAGTATTTTATTAAGGTGCATAGTATTTTTATATTAAATGTAAAAGATCAAAAATTTTTTAAATCATTTATAAGAAACATCACCTTAATAGGTAGTTGGGAGAGTCTCTTCACCGAAGCAATACCAAAGTTTAGTTGATGGAGCCCCGCTATTTCTGGATGCTTTATGAGAAAATAACCACAAATCCTTCTAACCAAACTATCTGAGTTGGTGTGCCCCAAGTCCCGAGCTTGCTTTGCTTGCTCTTGTACCAAATAAAACACCCAAATGTTTACTTTAATAAGTAAACATATTTTATCACTTTTGCTATTATATTTCATAATGTTCGGCCTGTACAAGTACTCCACTATTGCATAACTAAAATATGTTATTTTTTAAACCCCCTGTGAGATTCCATCTAAGTTTTTTCTAGGAATTCTGGTAATATAATTATTTCTTATACTTACACGAACATTACACATTTAAATAATACTAGTTTTTACTGATTTTATCATGTTTGTTAACTTTTTTATATACCCGACATTTCGAGCACTTTACAGCACCCATGGTCGCAGGGGGGACTGAGATGTTCAACGTCCAGATGTCATAGTTAATTGTGGTTATCATAGATTATAATTATTAATTTTTGTTCCGATCTACAACACGTAACATAATTAATGCACTTTGAGAAAGTAGTTTGTTCAGAATCGTTTACTGAATCGATTCCTATCATTTTTAATATAGGTAATTTTTTATCCCAAAAATAATTAAAACTACGTAAATTACAGTCACACTAAATCTGTACAGTCAAAACAAACTGAAATGGACCGTAACTTAAGGCAATAAGACTTTTAAGAGTGCAGTTTTATTTGTATTATGACCAATTCTGTCATTCAATAAAAATAAAGAAGAATGAACTTTATTTCAAGCACGTTAAAGTCTTTGCGTTCGTGGATTTGTACTGTGACCACAACATTCTTCCGGAATTAGTATAACTAATTTGATTAATAATCAGTGCATAAAAATGTTTAACTAAAAATTCAGTGTATGTATTATGATTATAACATAATATACTAATTGGGGTGTCTGAGGGTGTGCGTTAATTACGTTACATATTGTATATATCTTCTGGTAATACCCTATATTGTTATACCTTTTTGGATAGCTGAAGATACATAGATATTTTTACGTACATCTGCAACATACCTGCCATGCCATAAGAACCTGCCATAGATTTTTTTTAAATATTCCTCAAAGATAAAAATACTTTTTCAATTATCGAATCGTCTACTACGACCCAGATTGTATATTTACCTAAGATCTTGGTCAAAACATCGGGAAATAAAAATAAGTTAAAAAAGTAGATTAAACATGATAAAATCTGTAAATATAGTTTTATTCAATAAGATATTGGTGTTTAAAATAATAAAGCAACTTATCTACTACACAAAAGTAATAAGAAAAATAAAATAAAATGCACAAATTACAAAAAAATTGTATACTAGACAAAAACTTAGCAATTTTTTGTCTATTGTACTAAGTAAACTATAAGAAATCATTATTGTACTAATTTAAAAAAAAAAAAAACTTAAATATCCAATATCTTGAAAACGGTTAAGTTTGGGGTATGGTGACTCATAGTCGAAACAGTCGGTGATGCTGCAAACTACAACCCCCTAAAGGTCAACTTAACATGTAACCCTGTTTATATATATTTCAATATTTATCGACTATGTTCCAAATTATGATTCAAAATGCAATCAACTTGCTACAATTAAATTTATTTTTACTAAAATATGGTACAAATTTTCTAGGTTGCCTATATAAATATAATGTTTTGTTATTTTAATTGGCTTGAAGGTGACTAAGCCCAAAAGGACTCAAATTAGTACAAAAATTAATGTGTTGAAAAAGAAACTTAAAAGCATGAATATAGAAAATGAGAAATATTCAAAAATGCTTAAGAAGGCAATGAATCTATCAGAAAATACTACTTTCTTGAAAGCAATTAAAAGTTTTACCTCAATAGCAACAATTTTTACTATGCTCCAATTCCGAGAATGTGGTAAACACAAAATGGGCAGATGATTCACACCAGATGAAAAAGTAGTGGCATTTCATTTTTTTAAACGTGGGCCAAGAGCCTACAGGATGTTGCAAAAGATATTTGTTCTGCCATCACCTTTCACCTTAAGCAAGATGGTGTCTAAGGCCAATATTAAGCCTGGTATAAATGAAAACATATTTTACCAACTTAAGAAGCAAGCATCTAAAATGAAAGCCAATGATAAATTGTGTACACTGGTTTTTGATGAAATGGCCTTAACACCACATATTGATTATGACAGGAAAAATGACAGGATTACTGGTTTAGTTGACAATGGTGATGTGGTGAGGACAGAAATAGCTGATCATGTGTTAGTCTTTATGATTAGAGGTATTCTAAAAAACTATAAATAGCCTATTCATTTTATGCTGGCAGTACAAAAAAAGCTGAATTAGCCTTAATGATTAAGAGAAATGTCAGAAAATTGAAGGAGTCTGGCTTTAAAGTCCTTGCTACCGAATGTGACCAGGGAACGTCAAATGTTAGTGCCATTAACCACTTGATTGAACAAACAAGGTTGGATTATGCAAGAGAGGGATGGAGTATTTGAGGTTGATAATGAAGAAGTGGTACCATTCTTTGATGTGCCTCACTTATTAAAAGGAATCCGAAATAACTTGCTCACTAAAAATTTAAAATACACTATGGAAGGCAGTGATAGAATCGCAAAATGGGACCACATTATGAAACTCTTTGAAAATAACCCTACATACAAAGGCATAAGATTAATTAAAAAGCTAACTGAATCTCATTGTGACCCAAATAAAATACCTAAAAGGAAAGTCAAGCATGCAACTCAAATTTTCGGTCATACTGTAGGAGTTAATATGGGATATCCAGCTGGTAAGTTCACATGAATCTATGTGTACTGTGTGAAGTCTTAGAGTTATTGTAGACAGTCTGAAAGTCATATAGATTATTATATTATACCACTGGTTCGCAAAAAAACCTGACCTGGGAAGAACCAGCAAGAAACCAAGTGGGACTTTTTTTAAACATATTTCAATTTACAAAAAATTTATTTTGTACAATGTTTCTATGAATTTTTATAAAAACAAGCATGGTGGCGATCACTTCATTCCCAGGGGTTATTTTCATTTATGTATTCATTTATAATATAATAACCTTTTTTGTACAATTTTTCTTTAAATAAAACATTTAAACTTGTCTTAATGACAAATTTTGTACATTTTCTGGGATTTCGTTGTAAAAGCGTATACATTGTCCCATAAATGAATTATTAATTCTGTAGAGTCCAGTAACTGATATTACAAGCTTATGTTTATTCCTAGTGTTTAAAGTATGAACATCTGTATTCTTATGAAAGCTACAAGATGTATTTCATTATATAATTAAGAAAAGGCCAGATATACCAATGGTTGAAAAGGCCAATGTTTTTATGTACATACATTACATTTTCATAAATATATTGCGATGCCAAAGTTAATATCATAATAATAAATTGTCAAAAAATAATAGCACGTCGGCTGGATCTGAAATAGAAAATAAAATTCAAGTGAAGCTAAATTTTATCTATTTTACTGTAAGTATATTATACAAGTCGTTATTAAGTTTCTGCACAGAAACTGCAATTTTGCAGCTGACTTTCAGACTGTCTACAATAACTCTAAGACTTCACACAGTACACATAGATTCATGTGAACTTACCAGCTGGATATCCCATATTAACTCCTACAGTATGACCGAAAATTTGAGTTGCATGCTTGACTTTCCTTTTAGGTATTTTATTTGGGTCACAATGAGATTCAGTTAGCTTTTTAATTAATCTTATGCCTTTATATGTACGGTTATTTTCAAAGAGTTTCATAATGTGGTCCCATTTTGCGATTCTATCACTGCCTTCCATAGTGTATTTTAAATTTTTAGTGAGCAAGTTATTTCGGATTCCTTTTAATAAATGAGGCACATCAAACAATGGTACCACTTATTCACTATCAACCTCAAATACTCCATCCCTTGCTTCTTTACCCACTATTGCATAATCCAACCTTGTTTGTTCAATCAAGTGGCTAATGGCACTAACATTTGATGTTCCCTGGTCACATACAGTAGCAAGGACTTTAAAGCCAGACTCCTTCAATTTTCTTATATTTCTCTTAATCATTAAGGCTAATTCAGCTTTTTTTGTACTGCCAGCACAAAATGAATATGATATCGGCTGTTTATAGTTTTTTAGAATACCTCTAATCATAAAGACTAACACATGATCAGCTATTTCTGTCCTCACCACATCACCATTGTCAACTAAACCAGTAATCCCGTCATTTTTCCCGTCATAATCAATTTGTGGTGTTAAGGCCATTTCATCAAAAACCAGTGTACACAATTTATCATTGGCTTTAATTTTAGATGCTTGCTTCTTAAGTTGGTAAAATATGTTTTCATTTATACCAGGCTTAATATTGGCCTTAGACACCATCTTGCTTAAGGTGAAAGGTGATGGCAGAACAAATACCTTTTGCGGCATCTTGTAGGCTTTTGGTCAACATTTAAAAAAATGTAATGCCATCACTTTTTCATCTGGTGTGAATCGTCTGCCCATTTTGTGTTTACCACATTCTCTAAATTGGAGCACGGTAAAAATTGTTGCATTTGAGATAAAACTTTTAATTGTTTTTAAGAAAGTAGTATTTTCTGATAGATTCATTGCCTTCTTAAGTCTTTTTGAATATTTCCCATTTGCTATATTCATGCTTTTAAGTTTCTTTTTTAACACATAAATTCTTATACTAATTTGAGTCCTTTTGGGCTTAGTCACCTTCAAGCCTGAAATTAAAATAACAAAACATTATATTTAAATAGACAACCTAGAAAATTTGTACAATAATTTAGTAAAAATAAATTTAATTGTAGCAAGTTGATTGCATTTTGAATCATAATTTGGAACATAGTCGATAAATATTGAAATATATATACAGGGTTACATGTTAAATTGACCTAGATCCTTTAGGGGGTTGTAGTTTGCATCATTACCTACTAAAAACAACAATAACACCATACATCGAACTTAACCGTTTTCAAGATATAGGATATTTAATTTTTTTTTATAAAAATTGCCGATTTTTTGTCTATTGTACTATTTTTTTTAATTTGTGCATCTTGTTTTATTTTTCTTATGATTGTGTAGTAGTTAAATTGCTTTATTATTTTAAATATCAAGCTCTTATGTAAATAAACTAACTTTTATTTTACTTTATTTCGATTAATTTATTTTCTATACTGTCATTGTCATGTTGGATTTATTATTTTAAAATTGTTACTTTGATGAAATTTATTGATTGATCGACATTTTTTATTTATTTCTAAAATTGTGTAGATTGCTTAATTTTTAATTAATTGATTTTACTGGTTATGGGTGTAAATTGCCTGAATAAAGATGATTATTATTTTTAACTTGAGTTTTATTTTTTATGATTTACCTTTGATCACATAATTCTGCAACTAGTTTTGTGCATATAGTTGCAGAATTATGTGATCTTATAAAATTCGTTAGAAATAATCAGTATACCAGGGACGGGGCTGTACTATATATAGTACTCGTATATTTATAGATAGATATATCACCCGTTTAGTTCGACAACTCCACTATAGATGTCTCTGTACCACAGAATCGACTAGCAACTCTATTCCAGGTATATATAATGTACTCTGTGCTGGACACCAACTACTGCCGCAACCACGCACTACACAAGTTTGCACCATTTCTTGAATTATAACAATAATTAACTTTAAATATCTCAAACAACGCTGTGAACTGCTAAGTAAACAACCGCCATATTTGTCTAATTTATGTTGACATATAGGGCTAATGTTGCCACATTACCGGACCCTTAGGAAATGGGATTGTAATTCACTGATTCGTTAACCCCAAAAATGCATACCTTGAAGACCTTCAATTTTTGAATTTTTAGTGTAATTAATCGTATTTCAACTATTTATTTATTGGTACATTATTTTATAGAGTTTAACTTCTGATTTGGTTAGTGTGGAAACTATGTATTTCTAAGAATTTACCAGGAGATTTAAATAAAAACGAGAAGAGAATTTACGATACGACGAATCGAAACGATTTAAATAAAAATGAGAAGTCAGACCACAGAGAGTGAGATAAAGATACGTAGGTATTTGACTCAAGCTGTTGTTCCAAGTGTGGCCTCCATCTTTATCTATAACTTCATGAATAGCATTGGGTGCGATTGGCAGAAAAAAGCGCTAGCAAGCGCTTGTAAGCAAAATGGTGAAATTAAACAGTTTTCGGCCAGGACACGTTTGTTAACTTCAGTAGCGCTGACAAAATCCGCCATTTTGCTTATTTAATTTGTTTGCTTTAAAGTAGAGTTGTTGTTGTTTTGTGCAATATTAATTTTAAGTATTATAATGGCATGAATAAACATATTATACATGTTATTAAAAATTCATGATTGGTAAGTTTTTAATATGAATACTCTACAAACATACATTTAAATTAGGTTAGATTCCTCGGTTAAAACTAACTTCGTGTCCTAGAGGAAAATAGCTACTTACGATTTGACAGCGCTTACCGCTTACGATCGCCATTTTGCTTACAAGCGCTTGCTAGCGCTTTTTTCTGCCAAACGCACCCATTAGCTTTAGTTTTTCAGTTAATAAAATGTTTTTATGATTGTCCCAAGGACAACAGAAATAAAAACCATTTAATGCTTAGGTATAATTTATCTTTTTATTACGTACATATTTTTGTATAACTGTTCGGAATTATGTCAAGCACCCAATTTTGTTCATCTTCTTTATCGATGTTTCCAAATATAGGTTTATTGTCAGCATGACATAATTTACTTATTGACACCCAAAACTCTTCAACACTATAGTAACAGCCTCTCTGCTGCAGTGGCGAAGCTAGAGCTCCGAGCTAGGGCAAGCCCAAGATATAAATTGATAAAAATATAGATTGTTGTTTTTAGCAGTTTTATAAAAATACACC